CCAGTCAAGATGTGAGAATCTCCAAAGACAGAATTTCCATAATCCCTCTAAGCCCCTGTTCCAATGTCTGATTACCCTCACTATGAAAAACATTTTCTTAGTGCCTATTTGGAATTTCCCTTGTTACAATATGTGTCCATTGCCTCCTATCATTGTGCCCAACTCTAAGAAGAGAAAATGAAGTTGATTAATATTAGTGTGACTTTAAAGTCTGAAGGTTTTCTCTTCACTGCAGGAAAATATTAAATTCTTTTCACCATGAACAACGTCATAAGTCAAGGAAGTGAGTTACAGACAAATTACATTACTTACCAATTGATTTTCCTGGATATAGCTTTGCCTGAGGATACCCAGGGATCATTTTTTCATCTTTAGCTCTCAAATTTTCAAGTTCATGTTTGATGATATACTGACATTCTGCCATTGTAAGGAAATTGTGATTATCATCTAAATAAAAAAAAAAAGTATGAAATTTTGTGGCATAGTAAGACAACCCTAGCAACAAATAACCAGAAATAACCAGAAACAGAAAAAAAATTATTACACGACACAACTGCAGCCAATCAATATTTGCTAGCAAAACCTCCACAGTATAAAATAGACATCTTATTAAAAAGTTTTCACTAACTGACTCGTTGTATGTTTGACTGCACAGCTGAATTAAGGGAACATGTCACTCAAGAGACAAAAATGCCCTTGACCTACAAACTGCTGGAGGATGGGAAAGTATACCAGGTAGTACTACACATATACTTGCCCTGTTGTTAGGTACTCACTATCTGCCACTCTCAGAATCTCCATACCCCTTTCTGCCACAGAGTTCCTGAAGTATTTGGATAACTAACAACAACAGTAAGATCTCAGGACAAATCTGCGTTCTAGTAAGCATTTCACACCTACTATCACAGTAGTAGGTGTGAGTAAGTAGTAGTATATTGTTCTCTACTGCCTAGAAAACATAATGATAAGGCACTTGAGACAATTAGCTGTGATAAAAATATAGAAACAAGGTGAAATAGTAAGAAATCTTAAAAAAAAAATCCCAAATTCTAAACAGCTACAGCAACAACCCTATCAGAAATTTATCATCCAGGAAGCAGAGTCTGGTTTACTTGAGATAATAGCCCATTGATTCTTTTTTAAATTCGTTAGAGTAAGAAGCTATACAGATGGTCCTAAATACACTAAGTAATGACGTAACAAACAGCAACAATTCTCTAATACAGAGAATAGGAATATACATTATTTAAATTGGGGAACTAGAAATATTAGTAAAACACATGCCACAAGGTTTCACTTTGCAGAGGACACATTTATTGTTTCACCTAATTTAGGTCAATTATTTATCCTCTGGTCACCCAACAGTAGACAGTGAGTGAAAAGCAGCTGCCTTAAACAATCTGGACAACACTAAGTGACATTACTATTAAAAAAGAGAGGGAGGGAAGGAAGCAGAGAGAGAGAGAGGGAGGGAGGGAGGGAGGGAGGGAGAGAAGGAGGCAGAGAGAGAGAGAGAAAGGGAGGGAAGGAGGCGGAGGGAGGGAAGGAGATCTAGCCAAAATTCTCCTTCTGATTTAGGGTCGTTGGGAGTCCCAACTGCTACTCAAGGATCGGGTAGCAATGACAGTCAGATTAGCATTAAGAATGTGAACGCCTGGAAGAAACAGAGATGGCAGCTTTATATCTGACTCAGTCAGATATATCTAGATTTTCTAATTTCAGTAGAGCAAGGTCACAGAAGAAAACATACTGTAACAATTACTGGACAAAGCAGCCTTCTCGACTGTAGCGCTGAATAAATTGGCATCAAGCAAAAACAACAAAAAACAACTTCCAAAAACCTTTATTGTTGTTTCAGACAGATCCAAGAACCTTTTTATTGAAAATGTAGTGAAAGGCATCACTGAAACAGGCGAATGAAGAAGTATTAGCAAAACTAAGCTGGAATTCCAATATTTACTTGGAGAGCAAAACAAGTTCTGCCATTATTTTACTAAGTGGTCAGGTACCTTGCAGTGGTATTTTTAAAGAAAAATACACTATTTTGGCAGCAACCCAGGAATAAAATAGGAAAAGGAACGGTTTCGCTGCTAATCGTGCCCAAAACCCAATGAACACAAATGCCGTGCGGCGTTATTTGATTATTTAATTCTGTTTGATGTATAAACACAATAGAACAAAACCTTACTATTTTCTCCACCTAGTCATAATACAATAAACCTCAAGACTGCCTCACAGGTACTTTTTTAAGAAATGGAAGTTGTAATGTTAATTCATAGCATGGATTGCTAATCCTGCATCCATGTTTATCAATTTTTTTTTCTTGTCTTATTTGTATGCAAGCTTTTTGTGGAAAATCTGAGAGTACTTTAAACATACAAAAGCATAAAGTAAAAACAAGCTGAAAGTGAAAGCCACGGGGAAGAAAAAACATAGACTAAATCTGTCTCAATTTCTAGAGGTAAAAACAACTACTGAATAATTCATTTTCTGTTTGTGGTCACCATTCCAAGACTGTGGAGGATGCAATAGCATGATTGCTTATAATCTTCAAGCATAATTTTGTAATGATACTAGAGCCCTAGAAATACTTACCTGCAAAATCTTTGAAAGTTTTTCTACTGCTGTATGTAAAAGTTCTCATCGAGTTATCGTTACATTCCTTCACCAAACCTACAGCTTCAGCTCCTAGCAACAGTCGGAAGGGGGAAGCTCCAACTAGGTAAATGTTTTGGTCTCCATTTTCTGTGACCAATGGTTTAACCAGCAGCTGTGCACCTTTAAAGAAAGGTAAAATTAGGAATAGAATACATAACATTTATGTCTTGAAAAATTACTCTTTGAACATTCATCACATAGAACCTAGTTATCAGAAGCACTGAAGTTGTAACTTTTTAAGGGCACAAAGAATCGAGGCTTCAACAAACACCTGACATGAAGTGTTCAGACTCTTGCAAGGTCAGCTCCCTAATTCACCTGTTTGTGTGGAAGCACTGATAGAGAGTGAACTAGGACACACAGGACAGTTTGGATCTATTCCTGCAACACTCACAGTACATAAACAATTTCACTTCTGCAAATAATCACACTCATTTTTAAGGAGACCAGACTTTTGAAACAGAAACATCACTGACGTATTTAACACGGGCCTGAAAGCAAGCTTGCAGTGAGAGATCCAATAGCCACTGAAGTATTACTGACCATCAGACGTAAGCTACATCGGTTATAAAGTAGTGCCAACATGAATTTGTCAAGATTAAATCACTTCCGGCTAACTCAGTTTCTTTCTACAGCATGGTACCAAGCCATTTAGACAGGCAACTTGATTTTGGTAAGGTTTACAACATTCTCATAGGCAATCAGAGAAATATGCTCTAGATAATAAATATAAAAAACCGATTACAAAACCGTATTAGCAGAGAGGCTTTCAGTGTTTCACCGCCAAAACAGAAGGATTCTAGATCACAACAGGCCTGTGGCCTTCAGCCAATACTTTCATTAATGACTGGGTTAACATAGTATTAAGTTATTAAATTTGCATGACACAAACATGAAGGCAAAGCAAGCTTTGACACATAATATTAGAATTCAAAATTATCTCATCCATTAGGATAATGGACTGAAATAAATAATTCAATCAAGGCAAGTCCAAGGCTCTAGTCTTAAATAGAATTACGAAACTTCAAAAAAGAAAAAATAGAGTGGAACTGGCTAAATAATAATTCTTAATGAATTATCTGAAAATTTATTTTTTGTATGTCTTGATATTATAACGAGAGGCAACTCAAATTCAAAGCCTTACAGAAAGTAATATTTTACTCACCTCCATTTGCCTTTTTGTCCACAATTCTTTTCGTGAGCCATTCTCTGGTTTCCTCTTTGGTGCCTTTTGCAAGCTCAATTACTACCAAAGGCCTGAAGTTAGGCTCAGAAGCATCGAAGGAAGACCAGCTTTCCTTCATCTTTCAAGAGCTTGCTAAGTATCAATACAAAATAAAAATGCCAGAATTAAAAGTAATATTCAACATCAATCTAAAGAGAACAAAACTTTGCCGTAGCAAGTTACAGTCATGTTTGTGCTTAGCAAAGGGACAGGTCCACCTTTCTGTGGACCTACTGGAAACAGTACTGTGACGCATTTGAGGAACCTCTACAGTCATCATTTGGTAAGACACTGCCAGCTTTTGGTGGCATATATGTCCTGCTCTCTAAGTAGCAAAGCCGTTCTTGTTATGTAGAGGAAAGTAGTGGTGCTGAGAAGGCAAATAAACATATAAAAACAAAATAATAAAGAGAAATTATCATCATAAGCAACAGTTCGCAATTTCTTGAGGCACCTTTGTTAGGAAATGAAAATACTAACCTAAGAGAAAATCAGTCAAACATATATCCAAAAACAATAAGCTCTTCCTCCTAAGGTTGTGCAAATACATTATACATCTAAGAAGGTACATTTTTATATTAATCTTGTGAAGCTTTAACCACATATACCAAGGAAGCTTACATCATCTTTGGCAGATGAGCAGGATACCTACTTAATAGATAGGCAAATTATGCGCAGAGCACTTAAAGAACTCGCTGAAAGATATAAATCAGTTGTTCTGTGACAAAGTCCAGCCGCAAAGAACTGAGCACCAGCCTGGTTTTATACCAGAATTATCCAAACCATCTAACTGAATCATTATGTTCATATTGTTCCTTCAATTTTTGGATAAAGGATTCTCCAATGATAATGACATCATGCTTCATGCCTCTCCTTGCTTCAAAAGGCATCTTAGAAGGGTTACCGTAAAAAGATAAATCTGGTAATTAAACTACTCAATTTAGGAAACAAAAAAAAAAAAACAAGAAACCTACTACGCACTGAATTTGAAACTGTGTGAAATTTCTTGTTTTTTTCACTGTTAGCTTCTCTGAAGACAGGATTTTACTTGTTGCCTCTGATTTTAAGCAGATTTTTCCTGTGCAAAAGAATAAAATTACTTTGCATCTAATTATTTTGCTTTAAGTACACAGTTGAGCTTTTATGACAGAGTTATTCATGTATGGTTCACAGAGAAATTACAGTCTCCGGTATTTCATATAATTTATGCTACAAAATATAGTGATTCCTTAAATATAGACTTATCATAATAAACATGTCCATTTGCTTTTGATTGGCAAAGAAGCTTTTATTCCCAATTTCAACTAGGTTCCCAGTTAGTTTCACTTGCTGGTTCATACGCACACAATTCTGCAGCATTTGCAATTCTGCAGCTCTGAACCCAAGTGTGCAGATCTTTAAAATAATACACTAGATAAATAACATATTTAAATTACATTTCAAATGCAAATCTGTACAAGTAGAATGATTCAGACAAATGAAAACATAATCAGTGATTAGGCATTGTATTGTGATTAGGTCAATGATTCACTATATTATCTTGGCAAGCCACTCCACCTTACTGAATCACTTTCCATAATGGGTTTAGGGGTTTTTTTGTTGTTGTTGTTGTTGTTGTTTTTACAAAAAAGGTAATACTTGCCCCACTGGGGATACTGCAGCTTCTAAGTAATTTTAAAAATGACAAGCACTAGGTAAGTATTAAATACCACTAGTTAACAACATGCCTTTAGAGAACAGCTCTCTTCTGAAAACAGCCTGTGTATAAAGGATGTTTTTATGGAATAACTAGGTTATCCAGGAAACTTTGCTTCTATTGTTTATTCAGAATCACTGTGCTTGATGTGGTGATTAAGATTTGCTGTTTATTACTTTCACGCTTGTTGGTATTGAAAGCTAAAATAGGGCTGAAGCACTCTTCCAACTTGTCTTTGTGAATTCAGGTACCACAAAGTAATAAGGTGGATTAAAAACATGTAATATCTAGCACACTCAGTAGGATGTAATTTGCTGTTTTCTGCTCATGCTTATGCACATCATAACTTATTACACATCTAGAAGTGATGAGAACAGAGACAAAACACCCCCCACCTTTTTTTTTCCTCTCCTTTTCACTCAACTTTCCAGTCAGAAAATAGTTTGGGGCCTAGCCGTCCGTGGTGGCTGTAATGCCAACGCACCTTCTCAGCACTGAGGGCTGGCACAGAAGAGGAGCACAATTGAAGCAAAGCCCCCTTCCAAAGCAGCGGCCTGCACAGGCGGCTACGTGTATAAACACTGCCTAGCTATCAGTGAGCATAAAGTCCTTGCTGCCTTGTTATCAATCAAGCGTGCCCGGACAGCAAGAAGCCGTAGCTTCTTTGCGAACACACTTCACCCACTGAGCGGCACTGTGACCATCCTGAGGCCACCCAGAAACCAAACCGCAGCATCCTGCAGCAGCCAGCTTGCGCCTTGCTTTCTCCTTTTTCAGGAACGCGGAGACTGGAGTCACCCCCTCTCCCCCCACCGCAGGGCCGGTGACTCACTCAGGCCTGGCTGCTCCCTACCAGCGGC